GTAAATATGGCCTCCCTAAGGGAGACATGAAGAAACGTATCTTTACCACTTTGTTACTTTTCAAAACAAAAACAATTATTTGCTTTAGCTGCGTGCCACGTTCATTGAGATCTGGAGCCTGTTTTACCTGTTCATCGCTCTGCAGCTGTACTGGGGTAAACTGGAGCAGCGGTCTCCAACCTTTTTTGTGCCACGGACCGGTTTATGCCCGACAATATTTTCACAGACCGGCCTTTAAGGTGTCGCGGATAAATACAACAAAATAAAACCAGTACCGGTACCGAAAAAAAGAAGATTTATTCATAACACACGTGAAAAGGCCCAGGAAAACCGAGTTAACGATAAAAACGATAACAAAATAACGCTGAAAACCGATAAAAACCCTGAAAACCAGACATTTCACACCTGAGCCTCAACTCTCGCGGCCCGGTACCAAACGACTCACGGACCGGTCCGAGGCCCGGGGGTTGGGGACCGCTGAACTAGAGGGTGCAGAGATTTTTTTTTTAAATTAATTTCGTTTTTTTTCTCTCAAAATGTTCCAAAAATAATATCAGCAGCTTCTACAGTATTTTCTTCATGTGTATGAATTTGTTGTCCATCAGTGCAGTGAGATTTTGGCCACTTATAGCAGATCAGTCTTTATTTCCTGAATGTCAGGTCTCCTTTTCTCCCCGTGCTCAGCACTGAATCCTTGTTTTGTTTTTGCAGATTGCTCTCAATGTCTCCGGAAAAGGCGACAGCCTGGCTTCCTGGGACGGTGTCCTCGATTTACCAGAACAGAAGCTCATTCATAACCGGAGTCAGCAGCTGATCGGTGAGTAAATGTCGGTGCCTCTGAATACGTTGACACAGTCCTGACTTTTGGATTTGCAGTGAGTTTCTCAAGCGTTTTCTGGCACATCCAACTTGAGAATAAATTTTTAGTTCAGTAAAAGTCAGTGCATTATTTGTGTCAGGAATTTTGCTCTATTTTGTTTTTTGGCTCCATATCTCAACATTTAAGATCCACTGGGTTTGGCTGGTGAGGTTAAGGGGCTAAAATTCAAGAAAAAAAAATTATAGGCTGTTTGAGTTTAAAGTTGGATATTTGTGGGGGAAAAACAAGCTCGGCTTAGATGAGATTTATTTTTAAAATTAGGGATAAAATTCACATATTTGAACTCTTTGGATTATTAACTCATAAAGCATGTTAGGTCTTATCTTTAAGTCAGAAAAGAAACTAAAAGCTCATTTTCATTAAATAGAGTTGCTCTGGACTAATAGCACTGGTCTCTGTGTGCAGCTGGCTCTGAGACGACCGTCTACAAAACACAAAGTATTTAGTAATAACATCGATCTGCTGTTTGCAGTTTATCTTATTGCAACTCTTGTCTGATATGATGCGCTGCTAATGGGCTGAATATGAGAGTTTGTGCCTGTGTGATGTTGGTGATCTACTGCTAAGACTTCTGAAGCCCTGATGATCCTCCAGAAATGTTATGTTTGGTTTAAAAATACTTTCTTTAAAGGTTTAAATCTTCTCCCTAATCTCAGTTTCCTATCATGTTCCTGTGAGTTTCCGATGCTGGTGTGGGAGGATACTAACGCTTCCTTGTTGTGGTAGCATTGTCCGCCCTCCATAATGCAAAAACGCCTCAGTGGAGCAGCACTCTTGCTGCTGAAGAGATGCAGAGGAGTTTATTTACCACTTCCTACATTAGATAGAAAAAACGGGGAGTTATACCATCGGGGTAGCCTCGTGAATCATCTAGCCTGCTCTAACTTTGTACTTTTTTCCCTTCTTGTTCAGTAGAATAGCTCCCCTCCCCTCCAGTCTTTGTCACACCCTCCTCTAATTTGAAATTCAAACCAAAAGTCCCGTCATTTATTTAAAGGAGTACGGAGCTGTGAGCATGAACAGCTGTCACAAGTTTAGATTATATGCTGACGTGAAACTATGGGGAGAGATTCAATTGAATAGAAATCTGATAATAATGACATCATTTAATGCATCAATAGGAAAAAAAAACTTGACCTATTTGGAAAAGATAACTAAAACTGCCGACCCCCTCCGTGTGTCCCATGTCAGAGGAAGAGAGGAGTGAAATGGTGTCCGACGTTGAGTCAGTCATCACTTTCTACTGCAAGTCGCGTAACATCACTTTCACCCCTGAGCTCAGCTGGCCGCACCTGCTCAAACCGCTGCTGGGGCTTCATCTACCCCGGAGCGACCTCTACAACTGCTTCTATGCTATCATGAACAAATACATCCCTCGGTGAGTCATCTCAGCCTCCTTGTCCCCTTCACCCCACTCACACAGACACGCAGGCTTTGACTGTAAAAGCTTTCCCGTTTCAGGGACTGTGTGCCCAAAGGCCGACCCTTCCACCTGTACAGACTACTGCTGCAGTATCACGAGCCAGAGCTGTGCTCGTTCTTGGACACCAAAAAGATCACACCAGACTCCTATGCCATCAACTGGGTATGTTGCCTCATGTTAAATAAGTTTTACAACATTTTTGCCCCATTTCAGAAAAAGATTCAGTCAAAAACAATTAACGGCATACAGCTTCAATTTTGGTGAAATAAAAGTTGGTACCAGCATTTTTACCCCTGCAGAAGTGATATTCGTTCACATACATTTACTCCATATTTTTTCATCAGCTATTCTCCACCTGTGCAGCTCTAGAGCTCAAGTAACACTGCTCTTCATGTGGCCATGGCAAACGATGCGTCTGTGTTTGTCTCTGTTCCACAGCTGGGTAGTCTGTTTTCAAGCCACTGCCTTCCTGAAGTTACCCAGACATTGTGGGACTCGTACCTCCAGCAGGCAGACCCTTTTCTCATCTTCTTTCTCATGCTTATCATCCTCGTCAATGCCAAGTATGCAGCCAGAAAGATAATCCAGCTCGTGGCTGTTTGTGCCAGCTCTGAAAGTTTGTTTTTGTTTGTATCCTCAGAGAGACCATACTTACACAAGAGGGAGAAAGCAAAGAGGACATTATCAGTGAGTTTGTTCCTCTCTTCTCATTTGTACAGTTTTTGAACGTCTTTTTAATGTAATTAAATGTGGGGAAAAAAATGTCATCCCAGAAATGCTGGAAGCGTCTCCTTCTCTCCTGGAGTCTGAGGACATTGAAGACTTGTTTTCACTGGCCCAGTATTACCAGAGCAAAACCCCTCTGTCGCTCAGAAAGGTGAAGCAAATAAAAACTGAGCAGTGCTGAATATAAACAAAGAGACAACGGCAGCATCTAAAAAAACCTCATTGTTTGTTTCCCTTTGTCTGTTTCTGTAGATGAATCAGAATCTGTTTGGTAGCAGTTTGGTGGCTCTCAAAGAGGAGGACACTGACCTCAGTCAGGCATTGTGCCTCCCTGTGTCTGTCCCTGAAATCCTGCAGGCAAACCAGCTGCAGCAGGTCAGTGACACTTTGAGTGGGAAATTATTAACTGTTCTCAAGTTTGCCCTGTGAGTTTAAGGAAGAAAGAGGATGTGAGGAAACTGGACTTTTTCTTTTTTCTTTTTTTTTAGGATGGGGTACGTTTCTTCGTGGTGGATTGCCGGCCTGCAGAGCAGTACAATGCTGGCCATCTGTCCACAGCCTTCCACCTGGACTCAGACCTGGTGAGGGACAGGGGCTTTAGGGATTTGTTGAAAAATATATTTGCAGTAAACGAATATAAAACAAGCTTTATGTCTTCTTACAGATGCTCCAGAACCCATCTGAGTTTGCACTCTCTGTGAAGTCCCTCCTGGAGACACAGAAGCAGTCTTTAGAGTCGGGGTCCATCGCCAGCGGAGAGCACCTGTGCTTCATGGGCAGCGGGAGAGAAGAGGAAGACATGTACATGAACATGGTGTTGGCACATTTCCTGCAGGTGAGCTGTGAAAGTGGGATCCATATATAACGATTACAAACGTTTCCTTTAGATTTTTTCAAACTGTCAAAATCTCTGTTTGCTTATAAAATAAAATAAACGAAGCAGAAGCAGGAAAGTCATTATAATTCATGCTTTAAAAAAAGTAGTAATCACTGGAAGTTTTAACTGGAAAAATGAGAATTGTGTGACCTTGTTTGGCAAAACAAATGATTTTGTGATCTTTGTGTTGCAATATTATGGATGATATTCTAGCAGATCGGCTAATTTCAAGCTTTCTGTTACAGAAAAACAAAGAGTATGTCAGCATCGCAAAAGGAGGTTTTATGGGTGAGTAGGAAAATGACAATACTGACAAGCACATTAGTCTGCATACACACAGAGAAGTAATATGAACATGGAGAGGCCTATTTTTGCGTGTATGTGTAAGTTATAGTTTTTGTAATGGTTACATCGGTGAGGTGATGCAGCAGTGGCTGTCAGTGATTTGTCAGGATCTTGTTTGGACAAATCCATCATCATTTTTTAGCATGAAATAAAGTTAAAATACTATATTCATTTCTTGTACATATATGTATGTATATAGGGTAGATAGATAGAGAGAGATATGTTTCTGAGAAACTTGTACACATCCACATTTTTATATATCTGTCTTTTGGTCACAACTGCAGTACAGAAAATTGTGAAAGCTAAAATTCACAGAGACACGTGTACTTCCAGCTCTTCAGCAGCACCTGGTAGACATGAACGTCGAGGGGCTTGACTCCTCGTACGTCCACTGGATCGTCAGCACATCTGGATCTCACAGCAGCCTCAGCTCAGCTGATGTAAGAAGTTAGGGGAGCCAGCCAACCCCCTTTATCATAAAGGACATAAACATCACAATATGCTCCACACTGGAGGTGTTAAGAGAGATCTTCTGTCTGATGGCACGGATTGTTACATTTTTCCATGAATACAGGGAGAGTCTCTGAGCGGCCCTGGAGACAGCAAAGGTGTGAAGTCCCTGGTCAACAAAATGACATTTGCTCTCAAGTCCAAGTCGGTCAATGTTAAGGAGAAGATGATCAGCTTCATTGAGAATACCTCTGCCCCCGTCGACAGGTGAGAAACTAGTTCCTCAAAACATTCACCACTGAAGCTCACACTGCAACACACACTCTCAATTTTCTGTGTAAATCATACAGTTCGCTACAATAACAGAATGCAAATTAATATTATAACACTGAAAAAAAATCAAGTTTGTGATTCTTCTCACATATCAAATACTAAAAACCAAAGTACCAGAGCGCCTTCTGAGAGCCAACTGATCCCTCTTCAGATGAAATTCTACCAGAACAGTTAAAATTTACCGTTTTTTGACATCCTGCTAGTTTGGGTTTAGTGCATATTTACACCTGACTGAAAACACCATATTTGCTTTTCCATATTTCCTGTCATGAAATTAAGTTCCTTGTGCCTTATCCCATAATAGAATATCTTTCAATCTACCCTGGCCAGAGAAGGTGATTCCAGATCGGTAAGAGCTCCCAAACATCCAGATGTTTATCACTGGCATGCCCACTGGCTGTAGACCCGCACCACTCCCAGGATGTTTGGAGACTTTTAACGCATGCTTAGTATCAGCATCTCCGCCTACACCTGCCTACACTCATGTAACAACACCACACGTTCCCATACAGTACGGGCAGCAGGCTGTCTATGAGATACCGTTTCTTAGAATTTCTCTTCATGCTTTCACTAACAACATAAAACTGCTGTTTTGTCTGCACTGTCGGAGCTGCTCCAGCCTTTTAGGAAGCATTGAGTCATCTTTACATCCACAAGGTCGTCGTTTTCTAGTCTAACTCACCGAGGCCTTTGACTTCACCTTTGTTTGCTTGGAGATGCACTGAAAAGTCTGTCTTTCCATTTCATTATAGTTCTTTCAGATGATAGTCAGGGCTATGCAAAACCATAAAATAAACTATAATTTGCTTTAAATAGCCCTGAATATCATACAACCACTAATCTGTAACCCAGATGTCGAGCTAGAAATGTCTCGTTTAACCTCTTCCTTTTTGTATTTAACAGCACAACCTGTGGCAGTAGTGGGCTAATATTTTTTTTTACTGCAGGCTGGAGGTCTTCATGCCATTGATGTTTGTGTGCAAACTGTTTAATGCACTTAATGTATAATTATCTAGTGTGACTATAATGCTCTGACCTGCCTTGTTGCCCTCTGTAATCAGGCATGTGAGCAGCAGCGACCGCGTCGGCAAACCTTACCGGGGAGTGAAGCCTGTGTTCAGTATTGCTGATGAAGAAGAGTACGATACAGGTAAAATTACAGCTAACACAGATTACAATTAGAAGAGGGTATTATTTTGTGAAATATTTAAGCATTGTGAGGGCTTTTATTTTGAAGAACAAAATGATTACTTCCATCTGATCTTCCTGCCAGATGAGATAGACAGTTCCTCCATATCTGATGATGACCGGAAGGAGATTGTCAACATTCAGACCTGGATAAACAAACCTGATGTAAAACATCATATTCCATGTAACGAGGTGAAAGAAACGGGTCACATGTTCCCCAGGTAAGCTGTCAGTTTTGTTTAGGAAACGTTTTAAATGAGTACAGTGACCTTGAAGCATATTGCATGGCAGCCATAATAAGGGCAGGTTGAAGTCTTTAAATACTAAGGTAAGGTGCTTCACTGCTTCCTGAACATAGTTCCTGATTTTCAGAGGCTCCAAATTAATTGAACAAGCTAACATACGTTTAAATACAAGGATTGTTTTTAATAGTTGGATAAAGTCTGGAACCCATGAACATCAATAAATCCTGTGTTTCCTCTGCCACGCCTACCGCGTCTGCCTTCACTTGCTGCTTGTTTATGGGACTTTCTGCTTTCAGTTTTATCTTCAGTAACTGAAAAGAGATCACGTGACTGACTTGGCCATTTCTTTTCCTTCAGAAACTCTTGGGTTGGCTTTGCAGGAAGCTTTGGATCATTATCCATCTGCGCTATAAAATACCATCCCACATGTCTTGCTGCATTTGACTAAATTTGACAGCATTAATCGATAGGGCTGTTCGATATAACGATATATATCGGACGACGATATAAAAATGTCTATCGTTTCATTTTACGCTATCGTTTGTTTCGTGGTGTGGCAAAATAAACTGTTTACAGCAATATTTGTCATGGTTCTGATGGTCACTGTAGTGGCTATATTCATTTCTTAAAGTTCTCTCTTCCTCTTATATTTTATATAACCACACTGCTGACGGACAAGCGCCTGTTTTTATGTGTTGTCCTTAGCAACAACGACGGTAACACCTTCGCGTGTCCGCTTGTTTATGTTCCACGTAAACCTTTCACAATAAAGCTCAAGATCCCGTTGAGACTTTTCAAAATAAACTGAATCACATGAAAGAGCAGATTATTTACGGATGAGAAGTAAAAAAGAGCCGCCAGGTGCTAAAAAATAAACCTTAGAGTAAAACGTTAGAACAGGCTTCTCCCCGCAGCACGCCGTGTAATAAATACTCACAAAGAAAATGGCGGCCGTTAAAACTTATGTCTAAAAATGTATCATTTCATGCATCGGTTAAAAAACTCGACTCCAGCTACATGACGCACAGCTGGAAACACTTCACACAAGTCGAGCTGCCCGAGATTCACAGAGTTTACAGAAAATGTTACATTTTTGTGATTTATATCGTTATCGGACGATAGATGTCTGATATCGGGATATGAGGTTTTGGTCGTATTGCACAGCCCTATTAATCGACTGAATATTAAGAAACTCATTGCAAGTGTCCTGGGAACTCTCAGGATTTTCAAAGTAAAGTGTATGTCTTTGCAAGAAGAGGAGAAAATGTGAATGACTAACATTTCTTGATAATTTAATTTTCTTCACTGAAATCGTGATGCTTCCCATTGAGGTGAAAGTATGTTTTTGGCTTCTTGAGCACAGTTTTTGACATCCTTCCCTGGGTGTCAAAATTCAAATTTTATTTGTCACGTACACAGTCATACACAGTACGATATGCAGTGAAATGCTTACACAACTGCTCGTGACCTAAAGAAAAATGAAAAGGCTATGAATAAGATAGGAAATAAATATGAAAATTAAAAAGGGTAAATTTAACTAGGAAGGAATAAAATAAGATAAAATATATAAATTAAAGTTGAAAATAAAATAACTGTACAACAAAATACACAGTATAGAAATATATAAGAATGTATGAAGAAATATAAAAAAAACCAAAAAACACCCAGCACGCCCCTGTGGGCGGTCAATCCTTCAAGCTCGGGTCCTCTACCAGAGGCCTGGGAGGGTCCTGCGCAGTATCTTAGCTGTTCCCAGGACTGCGCTCTTCTGGACAGAGATCTCCGATGTTGTTCCGGGATCTGCTGGAGCCACTCGCCTAGCTTGGGAGTCACCGCACCGAGTGCTCCGATTACCACGGGACCACCGTTACCTTCACCCTCCACATCCTCTCGAGCTCTTCTCTGAGCCCTTGGTATTTCTCCAGCTTCTCGTGTTCCTTCTTCCTGATATTGCTGTCATTCGGAACCGCTACATCGATCACTACGGCCGTCTTCTTCTGTTTGTCTACCACCACTATGTCCGGTTGGTTAGCCACCACCATTTTGTCCGTCTGTATCTGGAAGTCCCACAGGATCTTAGCTCGGTCATTCTCCACCACCCTTGGGGGCATCTCCCATTTTGACCTCGGGACTTCCAGGTTATACTCGGCACAGATGTTCCTGTACACTATGCCGGCCACTTGGTTATGGCGTTCCATGTATGCCTTGCCCGCTAGCATCTTGCACCCTGCTGTTATGTGCTGGATTGTCTCTGGGGCATCTTTACACAGCCTGGGGTCTTGCCTGGTGTGATAGACCCCAGCCTCTATGGATCTTGTGCTCAGAGCTTGTTCTTGTGCCGCCATGATTAGTGCCTCTGTGCTGTCTTTCAGTCCAGCTTTGTCCAGCCACTGGTAGGATTTCTGGATATCAGCCACCTCCTCTATCTGCCGGTGGTACATACCGTGCAGGGGCCTGTCCTTCCATGATGGTTCCTCGTCTCCCTCCTCTTTCTTGGGTTTCTGCTGCCTGAGGTATTCACTGAGCACTCGGTCAGTTGGGGCCATCTTTGTGATGTATTCGTGGATGTTCGTTGTCTCATCCTGGACTGTGGTGCTGACACTCACCAGTCCCCGGCCCCCTTCCTTCCGCTTAGCGTACAGCCTCAGGGTGCTGGACTTGGGGTGAAACCCTCCATGCATGGTAAGGAGCTTTCTTGTCTTTATGTCAGTGGCTTCTATCTCCTCCTTTGGCCAGCCTATTACCCCAGCAGGGTACCTGATCACAGCTTTTCTAGCGGCCTCTTCATGGTTCCCATTCGCCTGCGGGATCCCCAGGTACTGGCAAATATGAATATGAATGAAAAAAAAAATTATATATATATATAACACAATAACAGCAGCTGTGCAAGTATTAAATGGACATGAAGAAATAATGTCCATGTTGTGCAATCCACATTATGTCTTGTGCAGTGCAAATATGCTTAAAGTGATTAAAGTAATGAAGTGAAAACAATGTCCAGAAAGTCCAGTGTGTGTGTAAGAACTGTATGTGTGGGTCAGTACTGTGTGGTGGTGTGATTGAGACCGTATCGCCTGCTGGAAGAAGCTCCTCCTCAGTCTCTCTGTGTTGGTCTTCAGGGAGCGGAATCGCTTTCCTGACCTCAGCAGAGAGAACAGTCTTTTGTTGGGATGGCTGAGGTCCTTCACCATCTTCCTGGCCTTGGTCCAAGGGTGGACGAGTTTGGCTTCGATGTGCAATGAGAAACGAATAAACAAGCAAGCGCTGCGGCCACTTATTAAACATTAACTCCTAACACTGATTCTTCTTTTGTGTTTCCAGTCATTTGTTGATCACAGCCACTCACATGTACTGCCTGAGGGAGATCGCCACAAGGAAGGGCTTTGCTTACATCCAGTCCAGACAAGCGCTGAACTCAGTGGTGAAGATCACATCCAAAAAGAAGCACCCAGAGCTGATCACGTTCAAGTTTGGAACCAACAATTCAGCTGGAGTGGAGATTTCAGTGGTTGAGAGGTGCTTGTCTGCACGCAGATGAAAAACTAATCAGACATGAATTTTAAAGTAGTGGCTTTACGATTTATTAACATTTTCCCTTTCAGCTAATGTCTTTTTCTCTGTCTCAGATATTTGATTCCCAATGCGGGCGATGCCACGAAGGTCATCAAGCAGCAGATCATGAAAGTCCTGGATGCCCTGGAGAGCTCATAAATGGTGGTGGTGAGCTCGTTTTGGGAGATTAATACAAACTGTAGGAAGAGGCTCCGCCGGTGAAATCTACTCTCCCTCCTGGACAGATCCCAGTGCAGTGTTGACTGTGAAGCCCCGTGTGTCTGTCTTTGGGACATGTGGGCACACTGCTGACTGCAGACCTGTGAGCCAGGCTGCGAGTGTTGAAATATTTAGGTGCTCCGCTGTCATCCAACCATTATATTATACTTATTTAAAAAGAAATATTGGTTGTAGTGTATGTTCTTCTCTACTGTTAGTATAAAAGGGGATCTCATTACAGAGGAGCTCCACTCTGATGAGTTCCCGCTGGCCTTAACGTAGCGTACTGACCGACCAGTGGCGAACTTCTTTCATCCACACGTGACTGACCTTTTCTTTTCCACCTGAGCATTTTGATGATGACCTATTCTTTTGATGTGAGCAGTATTGAGTTTCTCGTAACATGTTGCGTAGATTTAACGATCATCTGGTCAGCATGAGTCAGCCAGCTCGGACATAACGATGCACACCCCCACCCCAGAAAAGCAGTACTGGCACATGAAGCAGATTTCCTACTGCAGTAACTGTTTTTGATAACTTTACTTTTCCAGCAGGCAGCCTTAAATATAAACTATTTGGCGGTTAGTTTATAAATATGTAATGTGTATATATATATATTGTGTAAACTGCTCTGTATACAGACCTTTGCAATGTCATTTTGAAAGCATATCCTGAGAGAATATGCAGTGAAACTTGTAAACTTTGCCAGGTTTGAAGTTCCCCTTCTTTCTGATTTTCTGGTTTTATGAAAATTGATTAACCTCATCTCATAGCAGTCTGATGTAGCTCCCAGAAAGCCTTTCTGGACTACATTATGAGCACCTCAGTATTTTCTCGTCCCAGTCAGATTCACCATGTGAATGACATCCCCCGCTCCCCCGATGAGTAAATTATATCCAGAAGGCTGAAACATTAGGGAGAATGAAAACATCACACTAACGAGCTGCAGAGGTTTGAAAGGAATGGACCTGATATGCTCATTTGCAGCTCTATTTTTATTTTTGGATTCAACTAGAGTAGCTTTGCATGACTGGCAGTGCAGAATAATCCTTATTTATGTTGTCCTCCAGCTTCAGTTCATCTGTTGTCTAAAGTTCCTCCTCTTTTAAGGCAACTTGTATTCTGATTGGCCCCCGAACAGCACTGATGTGATCTCTTTGACATCATACAAGTCAAAGTGTGTAACCCCGAGCCCTGAGAGCAGTCGGAAGTCTGAGCTTGGGCTTATGGGGATTACGCGGACATAGCTGATGTGATTATTTGAAAGTGTGGCCATGTTTCATATGTTTAGTATTCGTGTATGACAGGAAATAAGTAAAAGCATATGAAGTCCACTTTAAAGACGGTTTTCACGGTGCACAAAAAGCTGATCTCATTTCTGACCCACATGAACAACTTTTCTGTCCACACAGAATAGAAGAGCAGCACAGGTGGTTCTCAAACTGTGGTGCACAGATCCACAGGTGATTATGACCAGGGGGGAAACATGGGGTTAATCCACCGTGGATGAGTATGATTTTTTTTGAAAGTACAAAAGTAGACAAGAGTTTGGTGTGGTTGTGGTGACATTTATTTCACTAAAATTCAGATTAGATTTTTTTTTATTGCTATTGATCGTCTCATGTTTTTGAGTGGCAGGCGTGCTACAAAAGTTTGAGAACCGCTGATGTGAAGTTATCACGACTACACTGATAAATGGGCCGCTGTTGACTTCTGATGGATGTTTCCCACTTACAGGCCCCAGTGTTCATCTGTGCTGTCACAGGATTTTTTGTGCTGACTTAATTTCCAAAGTGATGAAAAGCTTTAAAAAAAATAAAAAGATTTGTTTCCCTGGGAAAAAGGCAACATAAGAGGAAAAAGAAAAACGTCATCTATCAGCCAAATTTTTTTGTAACATCAGTATCCAATTTCATAATCGGTGCATCCATATTTATATATAAATATATATCTCTGTCTGTCTCATGTATTAGCTAAAACCATATACTGTGTTAAGCAGTCTGCAGTCCATACTGAGCAGTTTCAGTTTGCTTGCCACTGTTGCCTTCGGCCTCATGCCTGTGACGTGCGATATGGGCACCAGCAGTGGCGTGAAGATCCTCTAAAATCGCGGTTCTGTTCGTAGAGCGGTGGTGTTTAAGGTTCGGCTGAACGGTTTTATTTTGCATGCTTTAACAGCTCCACATGGGTGTCACACTAATGTGCGATTGGTCTGTTTCAGAATTGCCACGCCCCCCTCGATCGCCGTATCTTATTCTTTAGTCATGAAATCTGCTTGGACTCATTCTTGCTTTCTTCCTGCTTATTTATTTGCTTTGAAGTCTAGTTGTGTGTTCAGCCTCCCACAGAGACCTCCAGTGTGACAGTTGCAGTTTAAACTTCAGCCCAGAGGGCATTGGCCCCTTTCTCAGACTGAAAAGCACATTTAAACTATGAGCAAAGTAGAATTCAAGACAAAATCTGTTCCCGACCCTCCCTCCAGTCTGAAGCATTCCTGTGTAATCCATGCGTTGTTGTGCTTTTCTGATATTTTCCCATTGACTGGAACATCCTCGACTGGGAGTCTTTACATTCTCTGTAACATCACTGGATCAGGCTGTCAACCACTAGTCCAGAATGCAACATGTCTCAAATGTAATTTGCACCTTACTGTACTGCTGTTATTTTCTAAGCATTTCTGTTTTTAATAAATGGAGATTATTTGACTGCACGTTTGGACACACTCATTGTGAAACAGCATTTGACATGCAGTTGTGACCAAAGGTTTTTGGACATTAACTTTAATTTTTTCTGTACAGCAAAGTGGATTGTAAACAAGATGTGATTGAAGTGAAACTCTCAGCCTTAATTCAAGGCTTTAACAAAAGTATTGCAAAATAAAATATTAAACTACAGCCTTAAGATGAACAGTATCAAGTAGAAAGTATGTTATTTGCATTGAAAATATTGTCCAATAGAAGTAGAAGGTAATGTAATGTGAAATTACTTAAAGTACAAGTACAATGAAACATTAAAAGTTTGTAAGCATGTATACTAAATTACCTTTCTCTGTGAGTCCTGCCTGTGCTGACTTTGTAAGACGTTGGTAAGTCAGTAAGACAGCAGGGGTGGGTGGTATGACCCCATGCCACCCCTCTGGACACGCCCCTGTTCTAACAGCCTGGAGGAAAATTTCTCATCCTAATTTTTTTTGCTGTTTAAATCTTTGACTAAAAATTATTCAAAACCTGAACAAAATTAATTGTGGTTTTAATCATGGCCCACACTAATTTTTTCTTCATTTACTTTAGTATTATTCTGCAAAATATATTTTTCTTAGTTTATCATATTAGTCAAATAAGCAAAAAACAAGAAGCAAGCAAAACGCAACTTATTTGTTTTATGTCCAGAGAAAAAACATTTAAAAATCTTAATCCTTTATATACTTCAAACAGGGTCACAGTCCTCCTTTTGAATATTTTTGTTTTTCCTTTCCTATATATAGCTTAGCTATTCTCTCTGCAGTGGAAGGTTTGACACTATTTGTGTACCCTGAGTAATCCCCCTATTTTTTTAATCGCTGAGGTTCATTAATGCTAGTTCATCTTATTTTTTATTTTTTTTACTTGGAAATACATGTTATATTTAGGAACGTTATTACTGAGCAGAGCCACTGAGATCCTTACATCATTTTTATTGTTTATTAACCAGAAAAGTGAATAATAATGACGATCTTGTGCTGAATCGACCCACCCCCTGTGACGTTACACCGCCTTAAATCTTCACGTTTAACGACCTCAGTTTTTCATAAGCTTAAATTTATATTGTCAACTCACCTAAAAATAACACTTTCGATTTCAAAACAGTCAATATTTTTTAGTACTCTTTATTTATTTTTTTTATGTTAAATCAAGAAGGTCTCTTATTTTGAAAACCAATCCGCCACCCGGAATCACATGACCGGACTGTGGCGCGGTGTAGTGAGCAGATAGTCCTGTGTGTACATGTCTACTTTAGCCAAAGTCATGTCCAGTAAGTACAGAGGTCTCCGTGTTTCGCAGTTTAATGTTAAATCGCTGAGCGCGGTTTTGAAGCCTGCGGCTCTCCGTCACTCGCTGAAGTTCCGTGTTTGTTTCCTCAGAGTTCCGTCTGGCGGTGGTTCAGCTGCAGGTGAGCAGCGTCAAAGCAGACAACCTGAGCAGAGCCCGGAGGCTGGTGAGGGAGGCTGCAGGACAGGGCAGCAAAGTGGTGCTGCTACCGGTGAGGAGGAGGAGGAGGAGGAGGAAGGGCGCCTCACGGCTGCTTGTCAGCAGTCTGAAGTGCTTATTTTAAAATACAACCAACTAAACAAGCCAGTGTCCGGGGACAAATACAGCTGTAGATTTTATTTAAAAGACGTGTCCTCTGAGAGGACCATTAACGCGGTGTCGTCTTTGTGTTTTTATGAACTGTTTGTTCCCTTTTCTGGACATCCGTTAGTGCAGGAATGAAATATTTCTAAAAAGTTCCCAGCACAGGACCCTCAGATGACCTGCCTTTTTGGACTGCTCAGATTTACCCTATGAGCTTATGATCTCCCTGTCGTTAACACAGGAATGCTTCAATTCTCCATATGGGACCAGCTTCTTCTCCAGATATGCCGAGAACATCCCAGGAGAATCCACCCAGGTGCTGTCGGAGGCAGCAAAGGAGAACGAGGTGTATCTGGTGGGAGGTGTGAAAGCACCCGTGGATTTAAAGCTATTACATAGAGTACATTAAAGTTCCCTTCTAATGTTACTGTAAAGGAGCTGATGATGCTTCATGTAGTTCAGCTACAGTAAGAGTTGTGTGTATCACGCTGTGGTGTTAGATCCTCAGAGTTAAAAGCTCACCAGTAGTAGAGTTGATATATAACTCCACTGTGTTTCCTGCTGTGGGTTGTCAAGACGATGTGGAAAATGTAATCTGTTTCTGGGTAAACTGTAGGAAAAATAGTGAGAACTTTGCATGTTTAACTCCTGGAAAACAGCTGCTCTGCTGCTTGCACTCTACCGTGTTTTATCCTCTAAGTGTTCCATCAGAAACCTTTTTAACAGATCCATCGCACTAACAAGCTCAAGGTTTCGTTTCACGAGGTCGGTGTATGTGCAAGTAATCCTATGAGATAAAATCTCAGGTTTAAGACTTTTTTTTAACTCTTGGATGAGTACGATGTCACAAAGACTGATCTCTGCTGTTCAAACCTTCTGTTTCCAAGAGGTGGCCAATCAGAAGAAAGGAGAGGGGAGGCGCTGGTCTCAGGCAGAGGATGGACTGATGGGCTTCACCACGGACAGTATAAAAATAGAAAAGGCGATCTGACCTGTTGAAGTCCTGTTTTTTTTTAAGCATTGAGTTGAAAGTTTTCTCCGTCGTCATGCTGGGTGCAAAGTACAGCAGGTGACGAGGTTTTACAGAATTCTCCCAAAGATTTATTTCTTTGGTTGTCGTGTCTCTTTCATGTGTCTCTGTCAGAGGATAAACACATGGAGATGGTAATGATCGTAACAGGGCCACTTGCCACCCAAGCGTGGTCATCGTTTAAGAAGATTGGGATAACTTTAAATCCAAGTTCAGTTCAAACTACTTTTCATTATGTCGATGTAGGTTTCCAGTTGTCCAGGTCATTGGGGTCTTAACTGAACCTTCTTTATGTTTGTGATGACATCCGTCTCTCTCGTCCAAGAGCCTTTTCATTTGAAACCTCTGGAGTTTTTAAGCTCTTACGACTCGTCATCATCCACAGGATCCATTCCCGAGGAGGATGGTGGGAAGTTGTACAACACCTGTACAGTGTTTGGCCCTGATGGAGAGATGATTCTTAAACACAGGAAGGTATGTGTGGGTCATATACAGTGTGTGGTCAGTTGCAGAGATGAATCCTCTTCATCTTTTTTCTTTCCTCCTCTAAGATTCACTTGTTTGACATCGACGTTCCCGGAAAAATCCGCTTCCAGGAATCTGAGACGCTGAGCCCGGGGAGCAGTTTATCGCTGTTTGACACACGTGAGCGACAGCCGCAGACTCTGGCTTTCTGCCTCGCAGTCTGGATGAGCATACATTGATCTGATGTGTTCCTCCTGCAGCGTTCTGCAAAGTGGGTGTTGGGATCTGCTATGACATGAGGTTCGCGGAGCTCGCCCAGCTCTACAGCAGGAAGGGTAAGCGTCTGAAAGGAGTGTTTAGATTTTGTTTTCCTGTGATGTCCCAGAGCTGATTGGACTGCGCTTTTGTCCTCAGGCTGTCAGCTGCTGGTTTACCCCGGAGCCTTCAACATGACCACAGGCCCCGCCCACTGGGAGCTCCTGCAGAGGGGGAGGTCAGACTGAGGGTCATAGTCACCCACTCCCAAAAGAATAATTTACTGCAGACATGTTAGTCATCTTTCAGCCACATATCTGATCTGAGGGTTGAGCTTTCGTTAACCAGACATGTTACTTATAAGGCACAAGAACGCCTGAATGAACACAAGCTGAATAATAAACGCAGCATGACGAGAGCTCAGTGACTACAAACTGAGATCTGCTGCTGTTTAAATCTGCAACGAATCATTTTAATGTCTCTTTATGCAGGGCGCTTGATAATCAGGTGTATGTGGCCACAGCATCACCTGCCAGAGATGAAGCTGCCTCCTACGTGGCCTGGGGTCACAGCACCGTCGTGAACCCGTGGTAAGAAAATAAGATCAAAAATGCAGGGCGTGATAAGGCGGTTAAAGTTTTCAGAGGGACAACTTGAGGCCGTAAAAGTAGAAGAATTCAGGGTTTTAACAATGTAGAGCAGTTGGGGTGGAGTACAGATGTAGAATCAGCAAGCTGTTGTCAGAGTTTATCTCACTGCCGTCTCTGGGTAAGCTGAGGAACTCCAGTAGGAACAGTAGACAAACTTGAAAAGCAGCTTTTTTCAGACGCAAATTCATTGTAACTTTGTATTTCATGAGCTTTAAAAACTTTGTCACAAGGTTTAAATCCAGTGAAGCCTTCCTACGCTGAGCCGTTTATTGTTCGGATGCCATGCACACCATGTAAAGTGTAACTCGGGTAACAGGAGGCAGGTTAAATAGCCCACGGTGGTTTTTTGATTTGGATCTTGGCTGCTACACAAACGGCTTGAGGGAATATTTCACGTTGGCAGGCGCGACCAAAGAGCTTTAAAGTTCATCTGGGAATTTTGGCTTTTCCAGGTGTTTAGTTTCTTTCTGACGACTCCACCCCGTCGTGTTACCTGAACCTTCCTGCAGCTCCGCTGCTGTCATGTGTGGGTTTTGTTTGTCTGTCTGAGGAACAGACGTGTTTCTTTAAGCGGAGGTTGTGTGCTGGGAGCAGTTTGTTATCTTAACCTGTTCTACGGGCATCAGCTGCTGACGTCGAGTGAGTGTCACCAAGAGGTCTGAAGAGTTACTCATCAACTCTGAAAGTGTCGTCAGCTGAAAAGTGTCCAGCGACACGTCCCTGCCTGCCTGTGAAGAATCGACGGCTTACGTCATGACCGTACAAAACAGATGAAACTTAAAGCTTAACTGTGCGTTAGCATTTAAAGTTTTAATGTGTTTCCTGCAGGGAATCTATATGAATGTAAAATAAAAAACAACAACTAGCTCTTATAACATAGAATAAATTATTCAATACTTTTTTGTAAAAATGAAATAAGAAAATATCAACTGTGAGGAAGTTTAAAGGAGCGTTTCTTGTGCTGATTTGTGAATAATTCTGTTGTTACAGGGGGGAAGTCATTTCCAAGGCTGGACCAGAGGAAGCTGTTATTTATGCCGACATCGGTGAGGAAAAGCAGAAGTCTGCTTGTCTCTGTGGAATGTGAAAGTCATTTACAGTTATGTAATCTTTGATCAGCTGGTGAGGAAAGTGGAAAAATGAATTTCTGCTCTGAGAAGAAGTTTTAGTTCACTGCTTTAATGATTTCCTCTACAGAATAATACTAAAAAATGAAGACCTGACAATGTAAAACAGAGAAAGCATTTCAGTCTGGCACAGCAGCAGTTACTGCACAGTGCTCGTGTTTACTCTGCCGTTGCTGTGATTGTGTCTTCTCTCTAAATGTGTCGCGTGTTTTCAGACCTGCAGTATTTGGCCGACATCCGGCAGCAGATCCCGATCACATCTCAGCGTCGGGACGACCTCTACGCGGTGACGTCAGTGCAGGAAGGCTCGAGCTGAACTCTGAACCTCGGGTCCAGCTCTTCAAATCGAGCAAAAAGGATCCTGTAAAGTCTCATCCATGTGATTCTTGTTAAAGTGGATTGAAGAGAGAAGCAGGCCTGCAGCAGCTTGCTGTCTCACTGTCCAGCAGAGGGAAACATGAGAATCACCTGGACAGTCGCTGATTGGCTGTTTTAAGATAACTTGAATGAAGAAACTTTGCATTAAAAGCTGTGACTTTTGTATCCAGTGCAGATCTAGTTAAAAGCTTTTTGATGAGCAGTGACTCATTTATCATTTCTGGTTACAGATGAATGGGAAGACTGGCCGCTTGTTTGTTTTCAGAGCTTTCTTTGTTTCTGAATCAGTGCTCAAGAATAAAAAACAAACCTGAAATCCAATGCAGCTTTCTTCTACTGTAAAAGAAATATGAATTCACCTCTCGTACGCCTTATAGATCTATGAAGTAAAAGAGGGCTTGGTGTCATTTTGGAAGTCTTTATTAAATCTTCAAATAGGTTCAAAAAAAAACTAAACAAAACAACCACCAAGAATTGTTCTTGTACAGTATTTTAAAAACTGTATATTTAAATGGTAATTACAACAAACATATTTACACATCAGTGCTCTGTGGCTTCAGTTTTTTAAGTGACCGTCAGGCTCAAACATCTGTCTCCCTTTGTTCCTGGTTCATCAACTCGTCTTCCAACCTGAATTGATACCGTCTTTTGTATCCTGATGGTGACAAATAAACAAGTTACAAAAGCACAACAAACAACCTGACAGCTCTGTTATACTTTCTCTTGTTATGTGCCATATAAATACTTTTAAAAGTGGTGGATGCTCATATTAAACAGGTTTTATACAGTGAGGTCAACTTGCATACAAGTGATTGCTGAGGGAAAAGCTCAGACTTCAGACTGCTCCAGGGTCTCCAAATCATCAGCTTAACAATGAGCGCTTTCAAATTGCATTTTACTCCAGTACAGTACAGACACTTCATTGGCTCCCACCACAGTATAAACTTCCCTTTAAAATTCCTTTTAATAGTTCATAAAACTCAATGGTTTGGGCCCCAGTACAGCAAGATGCCCTTAGATCAAATGGTAAATGGTAAATGCGCTTTACATATCCAGTCATCCACCCATTCACACACTGGTGATGGCAGCTACGTTGTAGCCACAGCCACCCTGGGGCGCACTGACAGAGGCGAGGCTGCCGGACACTGGCGCCACCGGGCCCTCTGACCACCACCAGTAAGCAACGGGTGAAGTGTCTTGCCCAAGGACACAACGACCGAGACTGTCCAAGCCGGGGCTCAAACCGGCAACCTTCCGATTACAAGGCGAACTCCCAACTCTTGAGCCACGATCGCCCCTAATTCATCAAAACTCAAAAGCTTTTGTGTTCACACAGGCTGCCATTCAGCAGCTCATCACTCATCCATTTTCTTTCTGTTATCCAATTCAGGGTCACGGAGGGCTGGAGCCAATCCCAGCTGACATAGGGTGAAAGGCAGGGAACACACAGACGTCACGGTCAGTTTAGAATCACCAGTTAACCTGATCCCATTAACTGCATGTCTTTGGACTGTGGGGGGAAGCCAGAGTACTCTGAGAGAACCCACACATGAACTCCACAAAGAAAGGCCCCAGGTGGGATTTTAACCCACGACCTTGCTATGAGGTGCTAATCACCGCATCACTGTGCCGCGCTCAACACTGTAGTTTTTCTGTAAAGTTTTATTTTGAAGTTTTCACTGCCTTAAGGTATTTTAAACCTTCACAGGTTTTTATGTGTTTATCATTAAGCACATTGAGTTTATGTATAAATAAATAAACTGCTCTAAACACTTGATATCAGGTGTGATTTTCTACATCCAGCTCTGTGTGACGTCTTACAGAAGACGTTCCTAATGCTGTGATCTCAGGCACACGTCATACAGCTTTATTAAAGGAGGCACAGATTTGCTTTGCAGCATGACAGCATGCTCAAACATTCATCCAGACTCATATAAAAATAGAAGCTAAGAGCCTCTTATCAGGGCATTTTTCCCAGTAGCAAAAACATAATTTCCATAATTTCTCCATAAAGTCCACCAAAAAAAACCAACTCCACAGGTTCCAGTCTAACGGCAAAGGCTGCAAATATTTGATTTAACTATTTGCACTATTTTCTATTAAATTCACTGATAAACAAACACATTGATCTGCTTACCTCTCCATTGTTGTTTGTGCTCTTCCTTCTTCCTCTTGTTTATTTTGTCCAGGTGGATCTGATACGCCACTCCAGCTATCACCATGATCCCAACCACCACACACAGACCTGTGCTGAACATCCACATGGCCGACGATGCTCGATTCGTCACAGGCCTGGCCTCCACTCCATCTGAGCAATCATCAGGAAAAAACAATAGTAAAAATGTTTTCAGTGTGCCATAGAGCCAAGGCCAATAAATAAAGTGTAAATAAATAAATAACACCTGACTCCAAAAAAAACCTGCAATAAAAAAAAACACTAAAGAAGAAGATTTAAAATCCAAAGAGTCCAAATCCATAAACTGTATTTAAAAGATGTACATCGTCAAGGTGACTTTTAAAATTTTTGACTGATTGATTAACTGATTGATCCAAAAGTGATAAGATTTAAAAAACAAAACACAAAACTGTCTGTCTTTACATGTTAAACTAGAGCTTTCAAAAATTCAAAGATGATAAAAACTGGACTGGTTTGCTAATGTTAATGTGTCAGACACGTGACATTACCCAGTACAGGGAACCAGCTGATAGCAGAATTTGCTTAACTATGAGTTTCACAGATAAGGAGAATCGTGCTGCTGTGTCTGAACACTAATGACTGCACTTACAGGTTGACATCACGGTTTGGTTCATAGATTGGTTATCAATGATGCACGACACAATGGAGTCGTGGGAAATGTTGAGGGTCAAGTGGCTGGTGATGTTGTAGAGATTGTCTGGGAGTGATGTCATCTGAGTCCTCACCGACCCTGCGGGGGGCTCCTCGCTGTCGTTGATGAGCCAGTACACTGCAGGTGTGGGATAACCTCCAGTGGAGTGACACAGGAAGACCTTCTCATCGCCCTGCACTGCCTCTTCCTTCTCCAGCTTTGGGGTGCTGAAACTGGCTGCAAACATGTGTTGATTCTATATTTAGTAATATTTAGAATCTCTTTTCCTCCAGTAATTACATGAAATAAGCTGAGGGATTAGAGAAAGCATTAAGACATTACTCATCATGGAAACAATGCCTCCAACACTCCCACAATATGATTGTGAATGTTTTCATGCAGCAGTTTATTGTTTTTTATAGTCTTCTAACTACATATGGTACCTACAAATCATTACAGACACGTGTGGCATGTTATAAATGTGCAGGAGTTTTGCTGAAACACATCTGAACTGTTACAATTCAGGTGTTTATATGATAAGATCATCTACCAGTGATGTAAACAGGTGCAAACAAGCAACAAACGTGACCTTATATTATATTCAGAACTCTTTAAACTCTGACTCCCATCTGGACTTAGGCAAAGAGGGAAGAAGAATAAATAATGTCTGTAACTGTGTTGGTGCAAAGTTAAAAGAAAACACTCACTGCATTATATTGCAACGTATATTGAATGTTGTGTCTGTGCATGAATACAGAGACTTTGGTCACAAACACATCTAGAAAACGTTCAATTTTGTTAATTAAAAAATCCCTAAAATACAAAAAATAAGTGTCTTGTGCTTAAAATTTACGGCTTTTAATGTGTCCTCATTCCGACAAAATTTACAGCCATGGCTGCCACCAACCACCAGAGACTGGACTTCTAAATATCCTTCTTCTGCTTCCCCCTGAATCCCGCGGGACTTACCTGCTGTCCTGAGGCATGTGGTGCACAGCCTGGCGCTCTGATTCTTCCCTAACACCATGAAAAGGCTGTAAGACATTTGGTCTTCAACGGGACGAACCGCTGGCAGGTTTAAAGACACGTTTCCAGTCAGAGGAGCGTCAGCTGGGACTGCGACTCTGTTATTGCTCCATGTCTCCACACTTCCATCGGGCTTCCATACCGACCTGAGTACCAACTCACTGTCTCTCATCCACTCAATGGTGACATTCTCGGAGTTGACTAACTCAGGGAGAACGCAAGGCAGAGACATTGGCCGTCCCACGATCCCCAGAACACAACTGTCATCTGCACACAAAAAGGAGACACGCTATTTACTGTCATTATGTCACCGTGTGATCTGCAGACAGTCAGGCATCTTACCCAAACAGGCGCGCAAACTAAATAAACTCAACAGAAGTCCTGCGCGTAAAAGTGCCACCGGCGTCTCCGGATTTGGGCGCATCTGCGCACAAAAACTAGAAAATCTATCAACAGACGTTTTTCTCTTCAGCTTGGAAAAACAAAACTCGCTCATTTCTGCGTAATTCAAAAGTCAAACTTCACTTCCTCGTCCTCTGCTCGTTCCAACCCCGCGTACACCTCCGACCTCATTAATGTCAGTCATGCGGCGGCCTGTTGTGCCATACCTGCTCTCGCTGCCTCTCTGTCTCTGTCTCTCTTTCTCGCGTCTTTTCTGAGTTAAAAACGTGCAAAAATACCGCTGAAGGATTTAAAAATAAAACATAAAGTAGAAAAATAAAAAATCAAGCATAAATCTCGAGGACGGTTAGTTTCTGTCAGCAGTTTCATGTCAGGTAACACACACCCAAACATACGACACGAAACGTGATGACATCTGACTCTGTGACTCATTCACAGCATCTGGAGAAGAAGCTACAATCAAACTTCCTGTTATTGCGGTTACGTTCGTTTCATCCAGAGGAAACACAATGAGTTTGTGTTTCATTCTTTCACCTGATCGCGACTGTGAAACGGAGAGTATCATAAAAGTAAAAGTAGTCATTACTTAAGTACTGTACTCGGTTCTAAGGTACTTGTAGTTTACTTTCATTTTCTGCTAACTGAACGTGATGGACACGTTAATCTACACACAGTTATTAGCTAATCAAAAACATTATTCTGAAACTTGTCTCATTTTAATACTTGTGCCAGTAGATTACTTTGAGTGTTATTCAACCCCACTGGATGAAAGTACTTACTTAATATACTAAGTTTACTTATGAAGTTTTAATTTACTTTTAATTTATTTAAACAGATCTATCTTTGTTTTATTTCTGTTCTCCTCTGTACTTCTACTACTTTGGATGGAAATATTGCACTTTGTACTTCGTACCTTTTATTTAAAATCTTTGTTTATTGTTTAGGAAATTTCAAAATAAAAGTTTTTTTTGTTTAATTATCAAAGAAAGTATCAGCAGTATCCAAGCAGTTAAAAAAAACCCAAAAAACGTGATAAATACAAAAATTAGTCATTTTTATGAGTTTACATAATGACTTTTACTTTACTTGTGTCATTATTTACGACTTTTACTTCAGTAAAGAGTCTACCCAGATAGCAAGGAGACATTGAACAGATGCTGATTTTCCATCTGAACCATCAGAATCGTCAGGATTGAAATGTCAACACAAAACCAATGTTGAAACAACATTGAAATACTGATGAAACCTGACACTGACATTGAAATAACATTGATTCACTGTTGTTCTGTCATCGTTGATTGTTGATCTATTTATAGTTGACAAGGTGACAACAATCACGTTGAAAAACCATCGATTTATGGTTGAGCGGGAAATTAAAGCTGCTACCACTTGGACTATTCCGCAGCACCCCTATCACATTGGTACGTCCCTCCAGGTAACCATTGTCTTGTACAGTAGAGCGGGACATTAGATTTACTCTCAGCGGAATTGACCGGAGAAGGCATCAGTTCATGCACTGCACTGGCCTGCAGCACGATTAGTATAAGGTAAGAATTAATGACTTTTGTTCTAGTCGTTATTTCCACGGTTGCATTTGAATAACAGTAAAAAAAACCAAAAAACTTGTTAATGTAAAGTTTCGGATAAAATGTGGGAGCCTGAAATTGTGTCTACTTTCATCTTACAATCCGGCAACAAATAAATTGCACTGCGAACAAAGTCTATCAACAAAGAAAACATTTTCGTTTCATACTTTTCCGTTATCTTCCCTTACAAAGTTAGCTTTAACGCTTCGAGGGTTCCTTTGTTCTTGCCGTCGCCTCGGCGCTTGACCCAGACTTTCGCTCTGTGGTTGCTTTTTAGCATAGTACTACAAAAAATTGTAAATCTGTGATATATGATTGATAAACGTAAAGGTAACTGTATAAATGTGTTCAATGACTTTGTTACTTTTAATGATTGGAGAGCACCCGCTTCGATTCGCACTCAATTCAAACTTTACGCTGCACGCTCACCTAACTTTACGCTGCACGCTCACCTAACTTGCGTTTGCACCTTTTGTCCACACGTAAACTGCGTTTAGCATTTACGTGTGGACGAGGAAGACGGAGAAAACGCAGCGTCAAAGGTGTGCGCCTATTTTGACGCCACACTGTGCGCCAAGTTTTTGTCTCGGTGCCATGAATTCCTACAATGGCAGACTTAGACAAAATACTGTTAATTTTATTATCTTCAGTGTTTAAATGCTTACATATACGGGTTTGCTTGTAATTGTTGCCTATATACATTTTAAGCTATTATTTATTATTTAGTTCAATCAATAGATCAAGTTTTGTAGTGACTATGAAATATATTGTAATTATCTGTTTCCTGTTTATCCTAGACAGGGCAAAAAAGGACTCCAAATTAAAAAAAAGATAAAAATGAAAGACTGGTGCATTGTGCAGTTTAGCACTGGTGGTACAGAAATAGTCCCTAGATCATGGATAAATGGGGAGAAATTGTCATGGCCTCCATATCCTCCGTGAGACACATTCAGGATCCACGACGCAGTAAAGAGGAGAGTTCATCCTGGTGCAACATGGCTCACCTATGCACCAGTCCGACTTCTAATAAGCCATGGTGGGTATCATCTGGATTGGTGTTGTATAAATGTAACAATAACAAGTTTTTCGTGTCCTAATTTATGTCTGGCCATACATTGTGTTTGTACTTCCAGACACATTTCACGAAGCAGAACGCAGTCTTCAGAAATATCTAAGTGAACACTGTGATATGTCTGACCTTCAGTCCGAAGCTGAAACTCAGACCAGTCATAAGAGAAAGCACAAGTAAAACTTTTTTTATTTCACAAACATATCTTTGATTGCTAAGAATTTATGATCTTGTCTTTTATACATATCTGTGGTGCTTGCATACTGCAATATCACCACATAATATAGTCCAAAAAGTGGAAGCTTGTAAACTTTTTATAAATGCAAAGCCGTGTACACTTGTGCACTTCAAAAATTCCTTGTATACTGTACCTTCTTGCACATCTGTTTCCTGTGTGTGTTGTTATAAATCAAACTGTAACTTTAGGAAAAAATATTCCAAAAGCACATTTGTAATTACTTATGACCGTTTTCAACTTTTTTTCTTTAGACCAAATCCCCTGTACACATATAGTGACTCAGAGGATGAGCAGCCCACAAAAAAAATGGTTTCCCCAGGCCCCTCGAGTGAAAATACCAGGTAATAAAATACTGTCTAGTGTCTTTGTACATGTCTGTGTGTGACACAAGGAAACGTTTGACAAGTTGTCTGTATTCTTAAATACTTTAAAAAAAAATCATCTTTTTCTGTCAGACCTGACGAGAGCTGTTAACGAACTCCGTGAGGAGGTCAGAGCCATCCGCAATACCGGCTGCAATGAATCGGTAGATGCTGGGGTACTGGCTCTGGATTTGCCCTTGCACAACATTGAGGAGCTAAACAATGCAGAGCCAGCTCTTCAATCACAAGAGGCAAATAAGGCAATGGTAAGTATATAAAGGTTATGTATACTTTGTAACTATAAAGTGTAATAGCTGTCAGATGTGATTTAAATACATAACAACGGCCTGTTGATTAAACACACAAGCACTTGCATACACATTTAAGACATGAGACACGCTAATTCCATCTCTTAAAATGTGTCTATAGGTGAGACGCTTTGCCTTGATTGGAGCCTGACGCAGCAGTTAGGGGCAAACTCTATGTCCGAGTTTGTCTTTGCACAAGCAGTGCAGAAATGGCTCCGATACGCCCCAGATCGTTTGGGTGGGTGCAGGACGCACATCATGCAAAAAAATTACAAACTTCTGTGAATCATATAAACGTAAATAGGAAACTGTCTTTTAATAAAGTATTTAGCAAACGAAACATGCCTATTGACCTTTTTTTGTTTATTTTTTTTCTCTCTTACATCACATGCAATGCTGTCTTATTTTAGGATATTAATATTGACATGATACATTGTGAGACATTTGGGTTTTTTTTTATAAAGGGTGTCCAATTTAAGGAATAAGTACAACTAGAAAGCGAAAATTTCTGAAGAAATTTTAAGTGTGCCTATGCTACTGCCAATGAGTGTAGTTTGCTTTTAATGTGGTGCAATAAGTGCAGGTTGCCATTTATAACAATAGGGGGGAGCAATATGCAACATGAGCATAGTTTGCTATTTATACCACAAGAGGGAGGGAAATTGAATACAGCTGATTTTCAAGTTAAAGAAAAGTAAGCTGTATTGTGATCTCTGCTATATGCAGTGCAGCATACAGAGATGAGAGAAAGATGCTCCAGTTACACCATTACAAAAGAAGTTAATCGATATAAAATAAATTATGTTTAAGTCTGAGGTGTTCAAGAGAAGTTACAATTTAGATTTTACAGTTTTGAGTCGTTTAAAGTGAACAGTTTAACAGATTGTAAACCAAAGTAAGTTTTCTTGGTAGAAAAAAAAAAAGCCCATTAAGCGGTATTCAATTTGTATTTCAAAGGTATTTTAATGTGAAAAGGGAAAATTATGCAAATTATGAAATTTCCCCTTGTGGGACTAATAAAGGTATCTTATTGTATTCAAACTATATTTTGTACAAATACCATTTACAATAATGTATTCCATTTAAACATGATATTTAGATTGTGGTAAACAGCAAAGCAATATAAAATAAGGAAAAAGGAAACCATTCAAGTAACTTTATATTATGAACCGAAGAGTAAGGAAAAGTATAAATGAAAAGCATACAAGCATTAATGTATATAGATAAACCCAACAATCATATGACCCCCTATGAGCAAGCACTTTGGCGACAGTGGGAAGGAAAAACTCCCTTTTGACAGGAAGAAACCTCCGGCAGAACCAGGCTCAGGGAGGGGCAGCCATCTGCCGCGACCGGTTGGGGTGAGATGCAAACAAATCAAAAACTGTCCACAGAGCTACAGGGGGCACACTGGGATCGCAACAGCAGCCATAGAGGGAGACAGATTAGGATGTTCTTTCCAGTACTGAAGTAGGTCGCTTTTCTTATGTGTGCGTTTTTCTCTGAGAGGTAGGTCTCCACTTTAGTTTCTTCTCATGAGGCATTCACGGATACTTCTGGATAAGGGTCATTTGGAAGCAAGAGGTTGGCTGACTTTGCAAAAACAGCTAGAAAACAGATAAAAGCAAAACACAATTTAAAACAAAACAAGAGACATCACAAAGCGCAGGTTTCAGTTAGCGAACTGGCAAGTCATGATGATCTAATAAATATTTGCAAAAATAAATGTAACTTTAGAACTAAATTACCCAAAACTAAATTAAAAAGGAAGTAAAAGAGAGAAATTTGTTTAATACTGGTGTCTTTTGATTAAGTAAGTTGCCATGTGAGGTAAAACCACACGTGGCTGTAATTTGGTGGCCTGTATATAGTTCCAATCAAAGCGTATAGTTGGCTTAAATGGGTTTAATACTGGTGTCTTTTGATCACTTGACTGTATATAAACCTGTTGAACAAAAGGTGCATTTTAATTTCACTATACCTGCCCATCCTTGTAGCTGGTTTCTAGAAGAGTGGCACAGTTTCAACATCAGTGTAGAGCTTCTCCACTGCCTTCACTGGACAGAACACATCTGAGGAGTTATGAATGAATGGATGACTTAATGAATGGATGAGATTATAGTTTGTTTCAAACACTATCAATACCAAATGTTACAATATAAAGAAAGAAACAAAAAAGAATACAAATGACCTGTTATGGCAGGGATCCCATCAGGTGCAGTCTTTCTGTTCACGTTTCTGGTCAGCTCTTCAATGGATGACAGCACATCAGCAGTCTTATCTATGAGCTCCCACTGGTGAGCTGTCAGTGTTGCTGGTAGAGCGTGCTCAGTCGCAAAGACATGAAGATCACGTTTTTGTTGCAGTAGGCTTCGCACCACGTAGAGGCTGGTGTTCTGTTGTGTCTGCGTATAAGAGAACATGATTGACTTTATTTTTCAACAAATTCGGTTCAGAGTGTATAGGAATTAATAAAATAGAAGTACATTAAAGAACAAAGGGGATACAACAAAATTCTTGCTTTCATAATGCTAACATGTAACCATATGTCTTTAACATTTAATGGTAATGTAACTGTCCACTATAAATCCTTAATGGAGGAAGACGTTTTTTTAAATTTACCTTGCTGCCTGGAGGACATAAGGAGGTGGGTCTATTCTCCGTTACCAAGGACAACCTGGCTGGTGCTGTCTGCCAACCCAGGAAAAACAGTATATAATGTTAAGACATTAAGTGACCTGACACATTAATTTCACTCTAAAATGCAATGCATGGCATGAACTGGTATGCCAGTTGGGTAACAGATCGTTTTTCTAGTGGACGTGTGTCTGAAATCTGATGAGAGGTTATGTACAGTTAGTCAAAATTATAAAACCTACTAACAGATTTGAAACAGAATGGAATATTTGATACTGAACAGTAGTGGTTACTAAACTTACAGAGCAATAAAAAAGAAAATCCCTGCTGTTTGCATAATGCTGAGATGTAACCATGAATATGTCTATAACATGTAATTGTCTGTTGTAAATTCTTAATAGAGGAATATTTTTTGATATTTACCTTGATACCTGGGGAACATAAGGAGGTGGGTCTATCCTGTGTTTCCAAGGATAACCTTGCTGGTGCTATCTGCTAAAAGGGTATAGAAGACATTAAGTGACCTGACACATTCATTTCATTTAAATGCTCTGCATACCATGCACTGTTATGCCAGTTGTGTGACATTATAACAAACAATCCTAAACTGTATGGGTAGGTGTTCTTAACTGTCTCAAACGTGTTTCGAAAACTGTTCAACTGTCTGTGATCACTACTATATCTTCTTTACCTGGTCAGATGGAAAACTACTGACTACCTCATCTTGGTTGTGGCCAGTGAGCATTGGGACAGCAGGATCGACCAGGTCAAGTGGTTTCCAGCGCTTCTTTTGTGCCTGGGATCTTTTATTTTTTCTCGGCATCTGGTAGAATGTCAGCAGAAAAACTGAATATTAATTGTTGGCATTTCAAGCATGTGATCAAACCCAGCTTTCATTTTAAGTCAAGCATAATAACCAGGTAGCTGCATTGGTAGCCAAAAGACTTTACAATGCAGTAAATCGACAAACAGTAAATGAATCAAAAATTCTGATGTATACCAGCAATTTTTTATTTTAACCCTCTGATACACAAGATAACTACAAGAACCAAAAAATAATAATAAATCTCTCTTTTCTTTAAATAGACATATTGATAGTGTCACTGCCCGGTCTTAAGGCTTTGTTAAGTAAAGTTCCATAACAGTTTGTATATTGTAATTGGGAAAGTGATTACCTTGAAAGTTGGGAGGCAGATTTGTTGACCACGACAACTACTCCATTTTGGTGTACAGTAATTGGGAAAGTAATTACCTTGCAAAGCTGGGAGGCAGTGTTGTTGCTGGGGCGCTGGTAGAATGCCAGCAGCAAGCAAACCCAGATGTTCACAGCTCCTACTTAACACCTTAAACTTTCCAAACAAATCTTACAAGAACATTTGGCAAAGTGATTGGCTTGCACACCTAGGAGACAGTCTTGTTGCCCACAACAGTTTTGTTATAGAGTAATTGGAAAATTGGGTACCTTGCAAGGCTTACAGGCAGTCTTGTAGCTGGGAGGCGGTCTTGTTGCTGGGGCTCTGGCAAAATGCCAGCAGCAAGCAGACCCAGATGGTCACAGCTCCTACTTAACACCTTAAACTTTGCAAACAAATCTCACAAGAACAATAGAAGTACATTAAAGAATGTTACAAGAGGACTCACCTGTACTTCTTGTTGTAGATGCTGATATCCATATTTAGGTCCATCTGTATGACTTTTAGGCGAGAGTAGGCCAATAGGGAGTGACACTTGGCAAGTCCATATCCCTCATACCCTTGCAGTCATTTTGTGTTAGTGAATAACACAATAAATGGGGTTATGATAACTGTGATATGTATTCAGAACACCTGATTGGAGGCAGGCGTATGGCTGTGATATGTAAATGTGATCAATCAATGTGTGTTTTCGGTAGTTGCAGCAGTAATCAGTTGTGCATATCCTCTTGACTGCAACAGTTCTTGGATGGGTTTTTTTCCTCTGCTCATAAGGTCCTCATTGAAGTCTCCACAAACAATAATTGGTTGGTGATTCATCATTTCCAACGAGTCCAAAAGACATTGCATTTGTGGTAAAAACCTCACATGACTGTAATTTGGTGGCCTGTATACAGTTGCTATCAAAGCTGTGACTGGCGATTCAACCTTGACAACAACAAATTCAAGGTCAGTCACATTTTGCAGGTATTTTCGGGACTCTGCTGTAAGAATTGTGTTGTAGTAAATTGCAACTCCACCGCCATTTACCTTTGCCATGTCTGTATGATTTGTGTAAGAGACGTGTCTGTTGCGTGTGGCCATGTTGTATTGTTCCAGCTGGAAGCGGGGAGAAACCGATGATCCAGACAAGTGTGTTTCTGTTATACATAAAACATCAGCAAGGCTGAGTTCATGGTGGCATCTCATGTCCTCCATGTGAGTTGGGAGACCTTGTGCATTATGATGGATAATTGTCAACGTGGGGACTGTGGGATCTACTGATTTTAAGAATTGCAACAGTGGTCTTGCATTCTCAAATGATGCATGTCTCATATTTTTGAGTGCATCTGTGATGGCAGGATCAGCATAGATTTTCTTTTCATCAAAGTCTGTGATGTACAGTCCTTTAAGTGAGGTTGTGCGGCTGAGTGCAACATAGGCCATTCCAGGTTCAAAAACACGCTTCAAGCATACTACTGCTGATTCCATTGTCATGCCTTGTACTTTGTGAGCTGTACATGCAAAGGCCAACTTCATTGGAAATTGCCTGCGAACCACTCCTTTTTTACTTGTGCATTCTTCACATTTCTCAATATACACAAGATTGTCTGAGGATCCTTGTATTTTTCTGCGAAATTTTTGCCCAGAATTTTCATTGTCCAGCGTGAGTCCAATGAGATTCACAGTTTTTGGTCCATCCTGTGTGGCTGTCACAATGTTCGTGATTGTTCCAAATGTCCCATTAACAAGCCCATCTTCAACATCCAAATTTCTGATAATCATAACACGCACTCCAGGTGCAGCTTGTATGTTATCAGGTAAATCTCCTTTGTTGCCTTTCATCATTTCTGCCAGGAGGACCATGTCACCCGTTCGTGGGTCTTTTCTGTAGTCTTCTGCCTGAATATTTATGATATCAGAATGAAGAGCAGTTACAGTTGCTGAATTGTGTTTGTCGACCTCTTTGTTTGTAGCATAAATGTGTAATACATTAGATGGACAGTCTTTTATGTCATGGATAGCCTGTGTGAGCAAGGCTTTGTCATCGGCTTCAAGAGAATCTGTTTTTTGCTTCACTCTTATCCTGTTCAGAACTTCAGCAAAAGAATGATCATCTTTCTGTCGCATGATTTCTGTCAGGTTGACCATGTGGAAATAGTCTTTCCAGAGATCAAGGACATTGTCCTCATACACACAGAGTGGTTTGGCTTTTCCAAGGGTGGCAGCTGGTAAAAGTCTCCTACTGCAAGGATAGACATCCCACCAAAAGGTTTCTTGTTTCCTTTGATCTGCTGAAGTCTCCAATGGATGTAGGCAAAAAGGTCTTTAGAAACCATAGATATCTCATCAATGATCAGAATCTCTGCATTTGAAAGTGAAGCTCTCACTTCATCCAGTGCATTCCCCAGTCCCTGATAAGGCGGTTTTAAAGATCTTGGCAGCTTTAGCAGAGAGTGCAGTGTCTTCCCAGATATGTTAAAAGCTGCAGTGCCAGTAAATGCAGTCAGCAGTACTGCAGGGTAGGACATGTCTGCTTGGTCTCGGAATCTGGGGAGTTGGTGCAAAATCTTTGTTGCCTCCTCATATATGCACTTGATAACATGTGATTTTCCACAGCCAGCTCCTCCAGAGACAAAATAAAAGAACTGCTCAGGACAGTGACCCCACACAAGTTTGAAACACCACTCACGCACTGCGTAGAATATGGATGCTTGGGTTTCATTCAGACTTTGGTACATTTTTCTGACAAAGTCTGGGCTCAGCTTTGGTGCTATGATTGCTGGCATGGTTCCACTGCTGCTACCACTGACTTGGTAGTCAGGAACAATGTCCATTTCATTTTCGCCAGTGTCATGTCTGGATTGTCGTTGGGCCACACACTCTAAACGATCTACTTCAACCTCAGGTGCAAAGGTGTTCCATGCATTGATAAGTGGGCCTTGTTGTTCAATCTGTTCCAGTGCCCTTTCCATTGTTTTGCCATGGCCTTCATATCGCTTTTTGTTAAAGGTAACAATTGGCCGTACTGCATAACCATGTTTTCGTCCACTTTTGTAGAACTGCTCGGATGTGGGGTATTCTGTGTTTTTAAGGTCATCATTTGATCGATGTGGATAATAAAGTTTTAGCAGTCTGCTATAAAACTTTTCTGGTTGTTTCTTTTCTGAGAACCGAGGATATCTGATTATTGCAGGTTTCCCTTTAGTTCTTTTTTGAATATAACCCATGTTATTCAAAAGACGGATGGCATTTTTGGACTCTGTTTGACGGCCGTAGAGAATCCTGTACTCTGAAGCAAATTCACCCAAACACATTCTTTCAAAGTCAGGTGTTCTGGGTCTGTTTGCATATTTTTCTGGCAATCCGGACATCCACACATTTTCATCATCTGGTGCCATGCTCTGCAACCTGCTCATCGGGAGACTCATTTTCAGGGCATCATCATCAGTCTGTATGAAGACCACACTGCGTGAACACTTTTTTAGTGGCAGGCTGCATGTCCTTGCCACGGATTCTTGGGCACTGACTTCTCTGTGTTTAGCATATGCCTGCATTATCTGTTTCATTTCATCTCTTTCATTGACACTGGACTTTTTTACTTCCTGGATGACTCCATTAAGAAATTGTGTCATCTCAAATTCAGGTTTAGAGACATAAGACATCATGTACATCAGGCAGCTGTAGTCATCAATGACATATTGGATGTCCATGTTGGCATTCCAGGCCCTCAGCAGATCTGCATTGTATGCATTCACCCAGCAGTCATTAGGTTCACGCTTTAAGAGGATGACATGACTATTTGTTAAATTGAAGACACAATCCAAGTATTGTTCATAAGTTAATTTGCATTTGTGAAGCAGCTCAGACAAGTCTTCAAACGAGGAATTTGGGTCGCAGAGCAAATCTCTCAATGGCTGGAGTTTTTCTTTGGCCTCTTTCATTTTTTTTGCGAGAGCCATTCGTCTGTTCTTTTGCTTTTCATTTGTGCCTTTCTCCTTACTTGTGCTATGCTGCTTATCATTGTGATCATCATCATCATCTGGGCTTGGGAAAGTGATCATTGTTTGATCTACGGGTAGTTTGGGGAAGCCAAACCTACATGACACATTACCTTTTTTACAGGATCTGGAGTGATTTCTGCTGTGGACTTGAACCTCAGACACAATTTTGTGAAGTTCAGGATCGGCATTTTGGTCAGGCATCTTACATGTTATGTACTTGTCAATAAATTTGTACACGTGGTCTTCAAGGTCGCTTCCAAATTCAGGTGCATCTTTGACCCAAACCAGTAAATGGATATGAGGGCTACCTCTGGCCTGAAACTCCACTCGATAAAAGTAATCTTCTACTTCACCGATAGGCTGTGCTGGGGACAGGATCAGTGTTGTCATTAGTGCATCGACTCTTTTTTCAAACAATCGCATCACAGTCACAGGGTTGCTTCGGAGAATTTCACACTTTGTGTTCCAGTCAAGTTGTGAAAAATCCACCTGTTCACCTTGTTGAGTTTTTATGACCTCAACAACCTCAGGCCATCTCATTTCAGCAGCTGAAAATGTCAGAAAAAAAGTTGGCTTTCCTAACTGTCTGACCATAGCATGTAGGTCTTTCAGTGCCTTCTCCCAATAGGCTGGAGTACCTCTCAGAGGTTTCATGAAGCGTGTTGCGTCTTTGTTATTTATCAGTTTCTCCACTTCGTCTTTATTTTGAAGCATTCTGTTAGAAATTTTACGCCCATCCTTGGTGATTGCCTTTCCTTTGCGCAATTGGATGGACATGCTGTTTGTAGCCATGTGTGTTTCTGTTACAAACTGTGCAAAGAATAGGTAGCTTTGGTCAGTTGCAAACCGTGTGTCTGCAGAGAACAGCCGTGTATTAAAATACATGCTTGGGTAAAGTTTCACTTGTCTGGCTTCATCTAATGTGTTCTGTCCAGTTGGGAACTGGACAGGAAAGGCCATGGCTTCAAGTTTAGGAACAGAGAAGAAGCCAACAGGTCTATTTCCTTGCGCGGGTGCAATGCTAAATATTCCTTCACCATATGATAAATGTCCTGTGCTATATCTGGTGGTTGCATACAGGTGTCTAGAACAAGACCAGGTCGAAGTTCTTCCTTTTCTTTCTCCATATCTTGTAAGGGCTGTTCATTTGACTGTTCAGGCTCCATTAGTTGGTTTACATCATGACATGGCTCAAGCAGTCCAGCTGTTGTATCCTCAGTGGTTCTTCTTTCTGGTACAATTTGCTGGTCGAAGTTTCTGGGCAGTGCATCTTGAATATCTGCATCAGCAGTGTCATGTTCCGTCTCGATTATCTGATTACTTGTGGGATCAGCAAAAGTAGCTTCATCATCAATAGATACATCTTTGTATTCTGAATGCATCTCTTTTAGCTTTGATAATCCTGCTAACACGTTCTTCATGTTTACAGTGTAGAAGTGTTGGTAACCTTTGAATCTGATGTGTCTCTTCAGCTGTACCTGCAGGAGCTGGGCTTCACTGTTAGGTCTGGGAAGACAGTTTACTGTGGTTTCCACATCCGATGGTACACAAACAACAGCCCCATGTACGGCTCTTTGCTGTCCTTTTGGTAATGCAATGATTTTTGCAAACGGGAGAATTTTAGCAGTCAGTTGTCGTTCTAGTACATTTAATCGACTCAGTTCAATTGGAATGGTTGCTAGTGCTAAATTGTTTGCTACTGCGACGGATGGCATCTTGCCTCTTTGTAGGTGGTTGTCACAGTTGTAGCAAATCCACTCTTCCATTCTTTGTTTTGGGAAAGTACAATTAGCTGAGCATTCCCTGTCACAAACATGGACAAATTTTCCTGTCAAGCAAGTGGCAACAATGTTACTATTAGTAACATACTTTGATCTTTTGCAATGTTTAACTTGATTAGGAAACAGAGTTCTGTGGCACACTGTACAGACATGGGTGGGTCCTAACTGAATGGCTTCACGGAAAGCTAATGTGGCTGCTTGCATCACACTGTTCACTACAAGCTGGGGCTGTGCTTCAGACTGTGGACCCTGCTGGAACTGTGTTACTAGTCGTCTGTATTTCTTCTTTATTCTCTGTGCACACAACTTTTTATAAATGGCAAAAGATGCAGTGGTAGCCATTTTGTGTCTCTGGTACTGGGCACAGCGCTGTATATGGTGCAGTCTGAATTGTGAGTCATTGTGATACCTGGCATAAATTGATTTTTTCTGTTTGTGCCTGTAGTTTGGATCAGATGCATATTTTGTTCTTATGTATTGCTTCTGTCTGGTTTGAAAGTCAGTATCCGTGTTGTACCTTTGGACCAGATATTGCTTCTGTCTGGTTTTAAAGCTGGTATCCGTGTTGTACTTCTGAACCACATATTTTTTCTGTCTGATTTGAAAGTCGGGATCCGTAGTATATCTTCTGATAATGTAGTCTCTCATTTTTTGTTGAAAATGACGATCACTTTGGTATCTCTTCACCTGGCAGGCTTTTACTTTTTCTTGAATATGAGGATTTGCGTAATATTTTTTGGCTGATAACAGTCTTTGTTTACGGTAATGATAGTTTTCAGCATATTGAGTTTTCATAGCCTGTAATTTTTTCATTCGAAATTCACGACAGGAGGCATATCGTTCTCTTTCGTGTCTTCTTTTGTTTGTCTTCTTTGCCACTTCTTCAGTTGAAGATTTGTCTTTAGCTTTTACATACTCCCTCTGAGCTTGACGAATAGCTTTCTTACGTTGTCGTTTATTTAATTTGCTCACATTTCTTGCTGTTCGGGGGGTTTTAGCCATTTTGTCATCTGGTGAGTTTAAAGTATTGTCTAACATCGTCATGTGGGTTTTGGCTGATTCTGGTTCAGGCATTTGCGCAGTGGGATTCGTGATTTGTGGTTCATCATTTTGTGTTGATGATGTATCTGTAGCTCCTGGTGTTGCCTGAGTTGACTGTCCAGGGGGTTCCGTGTGAGTGCTGACTGTTTTGAAAGAAACAGGCACAAACTCATATCGTGCATGCTTGCCTTGATTTTGAAAAAGGTTATGCAGGTGGGTGATCAGGTCATTCACATGAGTGAAAGTGAGCATGACTGCTGTTCCATTTGGCTGACGTAAACCCGCTGCACTTCTTGAATGTGAATCAAATAATCCATACCTCCCAGATTTGTCACGGAAAACCGCAATGCACTCAGGTGAGACCATGAGCAAAGCAAAGTTCACATCTGT